CCCCCTCCCTCCCACAGCCAGCCAGGGGAGACTCGTCCCGAAGGAAACAGTGAATGCGGCACCGGACAACCTCACTCTCAATTGAAACTCTGAATTCACTGACAGCGGCACAGGGGCAGGGGGATTAAGATAAGAAGGGGATAAGAGAGTTTAGGGAGGGAGAACTGCTGTTCTCACAAGTCCACAGGGAAAGGGGCAACCACATACAGGAACAACAGATGGGACAAGGGGATAAGCCAATCAGTTAGAGGCGGTAGCAGCCAAATCCACAGTTTTCTGCACTCCTTTTTTAGGCAGTCAGTTTCCTTACAGGCGGGCCTTGCAGCCTGCTATGGGAAGGCTTGTTGGGGGGGTGGGAACATGGAGGAGGCCACAGCTGCCTCATAGCACCCCACAAGGGATCAAAATAGCAGAGCAGACAGCACGACAGAGTGACACACTGTGACATCGGGATAACGAGCATAAGGTAACGAGGCATGGGATTCAGGGAGGGTGGGTACGGGGGGGGTTGGCTGGGGCCGCCCCAGGCTACCACATTACTGAATAATAGACACAAAAGTACATGAAGCCACTTGGAGATAGATTACACAGAAGGCGTACCTAGTTCGGGTGCAGCGTAATTAAGAAAACACAGTCATTGATAGCAGAGCAGACAGCATGACACAGTGACACACTGTGACACTGGGATAACGAGCATAAGGTAATGAGGCATGGGATTCAGGGAGGGTGTGGCCGGGGCCGCCCCACGCTACCACATTACTGATTAATGGACATAAAAGTACGTACAGGCACTTGGAGACAGATTACACAGAAGGCCTACCTGTTCGGGTGCAGCGTAATCATGAAAACACAGACATTGATGTACACAGGGACGCTGGACCCGATTTCCAGCAGATGTTGCTCCCCACCAATGGATGGAGCCCTCAACACTGGGACCTGCTTAAGGAGGGCGGTTGTATCACCGCGTTAAGCAGGCCTCCTGGAACGTGAAGCTTCAGGGGATACCCGTAGTACTCAGCCATTTGGGAGATCAGATGGATTGTGAAGACCCCTAAGGACAGTCTACACCAGGGGGCAGCATTTTTCGTTCCCTATTCTGACGCAGTTCTTTGAATAGTGTTATCTACACGGCAAAATAAAAAAACTATGAAAGGGAGAAAGAGGACGGGTACCAACGAGCCTAGCTCAGTTGGTACACCCACGAACTGTTGAAATACGAATCAGCTCAGCCTCTGAAAAGGGTAACTTCGGTAGGCAGTGGGCAGAGAAAGGGGTCATACAGATAAGAGATATCTGGAATGGTGAGTTATTAGACTGGAAACCCACCAAGGAACTAAAAGGTAAGCTTGCCAGACTCCGTAATGTAGAGTTAAATTACAGGGAGTTATTGGACGCCATCCCTACTTTGTGGAAAGCACAACTGGACGACTCCTTTGAACATGCAAGCGGTACATGGGTCTTCACATCACCCGGAAACGAGCGAATGGGGCGGGTGAAGGGTCCAGACCTAGGAGGAGGAATGATATTGGAAACCTGGCGAAGCATGAAAACAAGAAAGGGAGACCTCAGGCTTTTCCCCTCTGATGAAATTACTGTTCCCACAACAGTAGGGCTCGAGGAGACCCAAGTATGGGATAGAGGAAAACAGGATTCTCCAAATTTTGTGATTTATCAGAAGGCTCAGAACAATGGTCGTATTGAGCCACTACTGTTTGTATGGACGTCCGTTGATGGGAAGCTTACCACCCCCTTAGTTCAATACAGCTCCAAGGTGGGGTTGCTCTCCCTGCGACAACGAATCAAGAAACAACCTTTAGACTTAGCAGTCAAGAGGTAGACAGACACAACAGCTTCGAGACTGAATTTCAAACATCTGTGGCAGGCCTTGAAGAAAATCCCGTCACAGAGACATGCAGCAAGTATATGGATGCAATCTCTTCACGTGCTGCCTTCAGCTATATGGCTGGAGTCTAAGGTAATGGCGTTAGACACCAAGTGCAGACGGTGTGAGTGGGGTTGGGAGTCCTCGGCACATATTTGGGTATATTGTCCCTTTTCGGAAGAAATTTGGCAATGGTGGAGGTCCATATGGTTAAGTATTGTGGGTGCGGACTGGCCTTGGGACAATGGATGGATTCTGTACGGGTTAACAAGGTCAGAGGCAAACCTTCTGCAGGGGAGGGGATACGTGGCACTGGTCTGCAAAGGGGCTGTTATGTCGAGCATCCAGAAAAGCAGGAATGTTAAAGTATTTAAAGGAGAATCTCTTTCCTCACACCAACTGATTGCGA